CTAATCCATGAAATTGGAATGAAGAATTATTTTGTGAAGATCTAGTGAAAAAATCCGTTCTTCCACCATGCTGGTGAAGAATTGGGAACAGTTGTTTGAAATGGCTTAATATGACACGCTTCTCGTGGTCATTAATATTGAAAATCTTCTCTATGTTTGGTATTGATGAGTGGAGATTGTATTCATAACTCCACTAGAAGTATTTGAAAAAAGCTCATTCAGAACTGGTTTTACAGTGGAATCCTACTCACGAAAGAACTTTGTTTATGTCATAATGCCAAAAATGCTACCAACAGGAAAACAGACTGCAGAACAACACAATGTTGTTTGCATTTCACAAAAGATTGAATGCATTTGCACAAAACTGAAAGTGGAAAACTTCTTGCTTGCTGTAACAAAATTCACACAAGTAAGAATTAAGCAACCTATTTGGAGTAAAATCATTTATGTTGCACATTTCTGCAAGGTAGCTAGTAAGTACCCCCCCCCCCCCCCCCCCTCCATTCACAGTAAAACTTTGTGCATCTTCGTTGACCTCAAAGTGAAAATTTCTCCTTATGATCACCTGCATAATTTATTTTTTAAAGCGTGTCACAGGTAACAGCCTGGAAGTGCTATGTAAAACTATAAGGTTTTACAGATAAACGTAGATGAAAGAAGGACAACAAAAAATGTACAAAATTTCTATTCGATATCCAAACGGCGGCAATAAACTTGAACAAAAACGAGGATGTATCAAAACCTGACACTACAAACATCTGGCGACTCAACAATAACAATGAAGATAATCTAAAATAAATCCTTAATAAAAGCAAAGTCTTCTAATCTTCGCTATTGTTTTTACTCTAATGCCAAAACTTTCAGTTGATCAGAGAATATCATTTTTACGCTTATATCATAAGATCTAATTATCAAACTGAAAAGTGTGAGTCCATTTTATATGTTTAACAAGAAATATTTATATCATCTCATCATAAAACGAAGTGGTAAATCCAAACAGTACCAGAAATTCAAGATTCTCTATCAAATGTTAGGGACCGGTCATTGGGGTCGGGACCGGAGAGAAAATTGTTGGGTAAAAAATATATTTGACCAGCTTTTGGTTGAGTAGTGGAAAAATAAAGCCTCAAATGGATTGGGTGAGAAAAAATACTTGAGTAAAATTATTGATTTGGCATGCACTTTTGATGAAAAATGAGCTATCTACCTGACCTCAAATACTTTGATGTAACAAAATTTTTATTACCAACAAGAAACTGACAATTTTCTTAGGTGCAAATAAAGATATTTTTCTTAGGTGCTAATTTAATAATGCAGATCTATTAGTATATCTATCAAATATAAAAAAAATGTTTACAAAGATAATAGAAAGTCGGATGGAATCAGGAGAATCCCACAGAGGTATAGTCCTTGCGACTGTTCGTAATGAACGTCTGCACCCATTTCCCTAAGGAGCAATCCATGACACAAAGACAGTGGACAGATAATTTTGTTAGGAGAGCAAAAATGAAGCGTGACGAAGGGACGCGTCAAAAAGGAGGACGAAAGCTAGGCCTGGTCTCGAGCAGCGGCGCCCAAGCCCAATTGAATGTCGACATGTTGTTATTCATCAAGTGAGAGTATTTATTCTTATTCATTGAGTTAAAGAAAACAAACTTTGAAAATATAATCAGTTTTTGACTAGATACGTTGTGTTTTATGCATTTAAATTGGCAATTTTTTAAATCTATGAAATTTATCTCGGTGTTTTGATTTGTTTGTAGGCCGCACGTTATTCTCAACATTTAATTGCGGTATTTCCAATTTTTGGCTTTAGGTTGCGTATGAAGAAAATATTTATAGGCTATCGTTGGGTATAAAAAATCCATAATGAGTTTTGTGTTGGGTAAACCGAATTTCTTGAGGAAAAATCATTTCTCTTCGGCCCCAACCCTGGTCATAAATAATGACCAGTTCCTAATATGATACATAGCTTGTATCAACTATGTATGAACCAGTAACTGGATTTGTATGAACAAAATTATTTACAAAAGCTAGCTCTGAAACTGTTGGGAATCCAAACGTTACACGTAGTAGCCACCGTTGTAAACTGTGTTATATAAAAACATATAGAAGACACCTTTTATGGTAATGTAAATTGTTTTTTGTTACTGATAACGATTGCCAACAGAATATATTGGTATTTTGGAACTTAAGAGCCATTCAAGTTTCTCGCGTAACCATTCTGAGAAAAATTAAAGCTTTTCAGTGAGCTTTTTGTGCCGCTGCGTGGTATTTTGCCTCGAGATCGTAAATTTTTTTTACTTTCGCGCATGCCCAAAAGTTTGTTGCACGAGTGTTGTGGGAAATGGCGCGTTGGCCTAAGTTGCTTTGATTAACCCCTGGCAATTTTTTCAATTTTTATCGACGTTGATCAAGAGAATCAGCAACTCAAGATGGTATGTTATCTTACAGCTTATATAAAGACGTGTTTTTCTTTCTCAACCCTCGATTCCTTTTTGTAGAATCTGCTGAATTCTTACATTTTGTCTTTGTTTTCCGCAGCCGCAGTTAGGGAAGAGCAGCAAAATGCTGCAGCATATTAATTACAGAATGAGATGCACGTTGCAAGATGGTCGAGTATTTATTGGGACTTTTCTTGCCTTCGACAAGCACATGAACCTCATTCTTGGAGATACAGATGAATTTCGCAGAGTTAAGCCTAAAAACAAAGGCCAGGAGAGAGAAGAGAAACGTGTCCTGGGATTGGTGCTACTCAGGGGAGAGCATCTTGTTTCTTTGACAGTAGAAGCCCCTCCCGCCAAACAGGTATCTTTTATTCACATCTCAACGTTTTTCCTGTTATTTCACTTATCGTTGAAGCTGCGCCCCATCCAGGCTTGAATGTGTTTAGTGCTAGCCTAGGATGGGCCAGCTACTTACTTTCAAACATAAATCCCAATCCAGTTTCGTATAAGTTTTAGTTTCATGTAGTTTTAAATTTCCACTGCATTCAATGCAAAATGACAAAAGTTAGATTTAAAATGTAACATACAAACTTAATAACTTATACAACTACAAGACAAGTCAACAGAAGAAGTCTAAAAGAAAACAAAATACATAATTTTGTCATATGAAAATAAGGGAATTGTATGTAGGGAAATTTCTTAAGGAGGGGCTTTCTCAGTAGCTATGCCAATCGAGTACATAACACTCCCTGCAGTCCAGATACATTTTGTTTGTCTAGGTTGGAAAACATGCATGATTTTGATTACATGTAGCTGCAAACAGCCCAGACTGGAAACTTTGCTTCTTGCGCGGGCAAGTTTATTTTGAAAATTTGAGACTGCGCCCCTGAAATCATGCACTCTTAGTTATTTTTATTGTTAATAATGTTAAATCCTATTGTCAAGGGATCTAGGGGATTTTGCGCGGCCAATATGCAAAAGCGCGCAGAGGTGTGCGCGGGCAATATATTGCGGGCGCGCAGCAAAGTTTCCAGTCTGGCAAACAGCTACCTGCTTCAGTATATATATGCATGTATAGAAAGATTAACAATATCAATAAAGTATTAATTTTCCATGAAAATGTTTGAAATTGTTCTATAAAGCAGATGTAACAAATAAAGGGAAATTAAAATCAATTCACAAAAATTTTAATCCATGCTATAATAGAGGGTAGAATCCATACAAATACACTGAATATACATCAAAAAATAATAGCAATACAACAGGAAACTGTTGGTCCACATCAGATATCGTTGGCGTAAGCTACATGGGTTCCAAACTGAATTCTAACCAATAGCGCATCTGAAAAATTAATTAATATCTGGCTTGATATTTACATCAAAACTGCAGGTAGATAGCTTGAATATATTTGTGTTTTATATGTTAATATAAGTTGATATATCTATTTGAAAAACTATACTCTTGCCTTGTGTCTGTTTAAGGAAAGATCAAAGGTACCAGCAGCCAGTGCTGCCCCAGGGCCAGGTGTCGGTAGAGCTGCTGGAAGGGGTGTCTCTTCAACAAGCATGGGCGCACCTGCAGGTATGCACCATTTTTATACTTTTTATTTTGCTGTCACATATCAGTGCTTCCTTGTTGTTTTACCTTAACTGGACCAAGATGCACATGTATGTCTGACCCATCAATCTCAAGCTCTTTAGGTCCTTTTTATATGGGGAAAGTTGACCCACTTTCCAGCCTTTGAGCTGAGAAGTGAGATCCCACTCTTGAATTTATATTGAAAACAAGCCAGCCCAATTTAGTGATGGCATGAGAGAAAGTTAGGATCTCACTGTGATGTGGTGAATTTTTTCCATACAAACCCTGAAAGATGGGATGAAGCTGGAATATAGGATGAAATGTTCATAAAAACGTGATCAAATTTTGTACCACTTGTTGGCACATAGGCTGGAAGGTGGGATGATTTTCTCCATATACAGCTGGAAAGTGGTATAGAACCTGCATGTAAACATTCGACGATTTCATCCCCACTGCCAGATAATGGTCTGAAAGGTGGGATAAATTTACTCATATAAACAGGCCCTTAGTAGTTTCTGGATACAAAAATGATTGGCTTGAGTTATGAGATGCAGGAAGCTAATTATCACCTTTTTTGATTATCAGAACATTTCTTGAAAGAAATTCATCAGTTTTATTTCTGAGGTAATAAATTTTACAAAGAATGTATATATTTACTGAGTTCTGCAGTTAAGCTCTTATTTCATATGCCATAAATATCCACAAAAGCTGCACTCTACATAGGTGTCTCTATCTAATCAAGGCTCACCAAATTGTGAACACTGCTTTTATTTTTGACTAATCTAGCAACTTTACATATATATATATATAATTAAAATATATTAAACAATCTTATTAAGCCATTGAATATAGGCCCTTTTTCACAAAAAAAACTACTTTCAGGTCAGAATCCGTCATCTAAAAAATATAAGAAGATGTATTTAATGACCAAACACAAACAAGCACTGGTTAATAATGAAACTTTAGTAAACGACTCCCCTGCAGTGTGTATTTTTAAAGCATTTCAAGAGTTGAACCAAGGATAACAAGGATAGTGTATTTCACATGTTAAAAGCAAAAAAGAAAGAAAGAGAATCCATTTTGTTGATAGCAATAGCAAGATTTAAAGTCCCACATTTTACTGTGTATAAGATGCATCTTGGTCTAAGACACATTAATTTAATGTTAAAATTCTAAGAAAGTATATAGTTGTTGCCATTTGTAAGACACATCCCTTTTTTAAGGAATACTAAAGAAACTTAACATGTGCTGAATTTTGTTCTGAAATAATAAAATAGAAATATTGGGTTTTGTTAATTCCAAATTTTCTTGACGCTTCACTATTTTCTCACAACTTCATACCATGTGCCAAAGCGTATTCTACAACCTTTAGTTTAAGACCAAGATAGGACAAGCATGATTCCATACTAAGTTAACAAAGGTATTTCAGACAAACAGTCTGCCTTACCTTGGAAATTTTCACAGTTTGCACAGATCAAAAGTTAAGCAAGGGTGGGACGGAGATGTAGCTTGTGGTTTGGTGGCCTTCTATGTCTTTTTGTGATTTATTGTTCTGATTAGAAGTGCAGTTATTCCAATTAAGAGACTAGATGCTCTAAATATCATAATATTCTGTCTATGAATTCACCCTTTGCCTAGAAAATGTTGGGAAAAGTCAATGTTACCGTGTAAAAGATGTGCCCTTGAACAAAGCCAATAATTGTTTGAGTCTAATACATGGTTGGGTCTAATACATGGTGAAATACCCTATGCCTGAATTACCGTTGGAAAAATTTGTTCGCACATATGCCACACTCACACCTGTTGATGATCAAAAAAGGGGGGTTAGGTATTCATTTTGTTTGGATTTTTGTTTTCTGAATATTGTATTTGTAATTTTCAAGTTCGAAAAATATATATATATAAGCTGGAAATCTTTTTTCAGGATTGTCTGGACCAGTTCGGGGTGTAGGTGGACCTTCTCAGCAAGTCATGACTCCTCAAGTTGCTGCAGCAACCAAGGGTGCTACAACAGGTAAATATTAGTAGTTTTATTTTGTAAGCTGAACATTCAGGCTTTCGTCAGAAAGGCATGCAATAGCACGTTCATGCGCAAGCATGCCTACTGCCATCAAGGAGTTCAAAATACCACACACCTTTTTTTAATTCTGGGAGTGAAATTCTCTATCAATGATTGGTTTTGTTGGTTTTTGAGACAGTTTTAAATGTAAATCTATCCTTGGTACTATTACTTCTTGTCATTTCAAAAAGGCCTAACACCTTGTCAGGATTGCAGATTAAATATTGCAGTGAAATCCCGATAATATGAAACCCGGCTATAAAAATGGAGAAGAGATTTGTGCAAAAGTTTACGCCTTTGACTCTGCTAAGGATTCATTATTGAAGCTGATGAAAACTGCTTGTGATATGGCTAAAAATTTTCTGTACTTGTAGTGCCATTTTTTTGCTTATATATTTAATAAGTTTGTTTTATACTTCTGTAGAAACTTGCTCAAGTCTTCAGAAATAGCACATTTTTGTTATATAAAATGTTAGTAGTGATGCTAAAGATTCAGCAAAATAAATTTCATCAAAATTTTTGGTGTCAACACTTTCTTGTTGGCAAATAATTTTTGTGAAACAATGCCACATGCAACCATATGCCTGGATGTTTTCAAACGTGCAGTGGTTAGCATGCCTGCTATAATTTTCCCACAAAAGTCTGACATTGCACAAAAATTCTCTCTTTATTTTTGTTTTATTTTCTTTTGTCAGTAAGTGTTTTTCTTTTTTCATATGCCCCCAATCTATTTCTGAACCCTTTTTAAAAAAATGCATATTGATATATGCATATGTGTCTGTGTTTATATTTTGTATCTTTCAAATACTCAGTCATTAATCCATAAAAAATGCAACTTTGTTTTTGTTTTATAGCTGCTGCACCTAAACAATATACACCAGGATCTGGACCACCAGGCCCAGGAGCCCCTGGCGGTGGGCCACCAGGAAGTGGCCCACCTGGAGGGCCACCAGGATCCAGACCCCCTGGCCCAGGTAGGTGATGTAATTGCTAAGGAAGAGATGAAGCATATAATATATACTTCAAATTAGCCTCCTAGAGGCTTATATTTCCCTTTTTAGCAGAAATTGATCTTGTAGCTTGCAAAAATTTCTTCAATTTTTCACCCAGAAGAGTGCAATTGTAAGATCAAGTATGAAGAAGGTTTTAAGGCGTTGTCAACATTAGCAATCAAATTACTTCAAAGTCTTGGTTAAGAGTATAACATCTATGCATTATTAAGATTGAGTGCTTGACAAAGTTTCCATCATGGTTTAGAATTTGTTGCTTTATTATTTAATATGCTTGTTTTAGGTGGACCTGTGGGTCCAGGAGGTAGAGGTGGACCACCAATGGGCATGCCTCCACCAGGAATGCCTCCTCCTGGTATGCCAATGGGCATGATGGGAAGGGGTATGCCACCACCTGGAATGCCACCTCCAGGGATGCCTCCTCCTGGAATGCCACCACCAGGTGCAAGGCCTGGAATGGGTAAGTTGCATGTTTTAGAATCTACATTGTTTGATCAAACCTGAATTTATGATGTGCTCTATAGCTAAACATATTACAGTTTAGTTTTTGCTGTGGTTCAAGTGGATTTTATAAGGCACAAATTATTGTTTGTTTAACATGGGTTATAAAGGAACGCTTACAACTAACTTTTGGTTACACAAAAGCATTCAAAATCCCAAAATTACACCACAAAGGATATTTTGCAGCAAAATATCACTCTTATAACAACAAGTTCTTGTCAAATTTAAGGTTACGGTAAACGTTTTGAACACGAAAATGGGTTTTTTCTTCCTAAAGGCCAAACAGCTCAAGGAATCTGGATAAACTATATATCATCCGATGCACAAGATTATGGCGTATCTAGCCAGATAAAAAGTATTGGCAAATAATGTTAAATGTTATTTTCCATGCGAATTTACTGGTCAAAAAGTGTACCACCTTCAAAAGCTATTATGTACCCTTGCGTTTGAGGTAACAGAATCTGACTTAGACCAGCAGGAAGTGCAGGTCCTAAGCTACCAAAGTGTGTCTCAGATTTTTTAAATTCCTCCTCTTCTTGAAACTATGCCCTGTCAAAAATTGGCAAATAATTGTTCCACCCTCCCGCAGCTGTATTTGGGTATAAAAGACGGACCAGAGAAAATAAAAAAATTTTGAGACACACTTTGTTTGCCCAACGTCTGCCCTGGCCGTGTGCAAATTTTCGAGCCATTCGATTGGTTCCTTGGGTACATAATAGCTTTTTCGTACCTGCATGTAGAGGAATTTCGAGTCCGGAGAAAACGGGATTTTACTGATCGCACTTGCAAGATACACTCGTAAACCACAGTGTAATCCGGGTCAAGTCACTTGAAGATTTAAGATCAATAAGCCTGTTTAAATAAACACGGCCGTACATTGGGTATATGGATGTGCCATGCGATATTGTAAATGAGACATGCGACTACAACCGCAAAGCGACGATAATCGGCTTAAAAGGTCAAGAGATTTTCAGGCCTCAACTAAAAGTTTTGATAAAGAGATTATGGAAACCTGCGTTTACATGGGATTTTTTCCACTTTCAAAATTTCTGCTTGTTTCAAATTTGGTGGCATTGTGTGCCTTGAAAGTTCGGCTACTTGAATGTGAAAAAAATCGAAAAAATGATGTTTTCATCCAGCAAACGTTTACCGTAACCTTTAGTGAAATACAGAACAAAACTGGCAACAAACTGGCTCAGGGACATGTTTTCCCCAAACCACTCTGTCCTTTTTATTTAAAGGTAATGCTCACACTTCCTGTTTCTATGTATTAATATTTCTTCTACAAGGACCACCTGGAATGCAGCCACCACCCAGGCAATGAACTGATTAGCAAATGAACTGAAACATTCTGTAGCTGATGAAGGGAACAAGAACAATATTTCTGTTGCTCTTGGTAAAGTTATGCATACCAGATGTTGCTTTATTCTGTGATGAAAGTGCCACCTTCTGGATTTATAAAAGTGAGGAGAACATGGCGGAAGTGTATATATTCTGTGTTTGTGCATGGAAAGACCCTTTGAACTTGTATTTCTTGTTAATATGACATATCTATGAAATAAATACGAGGGCTGTTTATTTGAGGCTCTTCTTGAGTTGTAGTAATCCACAGTTAACGTGAAAAGAGTTTCCCAGAAATTGTTTGTTAAAAGAATGGAGTCAACTAACTTGTCATGATATCAGAAACCATTGAAAGCAAATTGAGCCTCAGTTCAATCTGAACGGAACGGAAGTGTAAGGTTTTATGAAAACGTATCATGAACTTGTCTCCAAATTTTAGTTTTTTTTGTCACATACCACCTCAATCATATAGGTCGTACCTAGCTAATTAGGACATGTTTGTCTAGTTGATCTGATAAATGTTTTATGTGACCAAATGATAATGCGTTGAGAGAATGAAAGAATTGCTAGTGTTATGAACACTATTGAGTTTTATGAGGGTTTTTTGCCTTTTTATTAATTTTTGTCTTTTTATTCTTTTTTGTTTGTGTAACCGCCAAGATCTTGCTTCACATAGCAATTTTATATTTGATATCCGTTTATTAAAATGATGTTGTTGTGTCTGTATTTAATTATTCAGGTGCATTCAATTATTTCTAAATGATTTAGAAAAAACAAACATTTTGAAGCTTTTCGTCCGACACTCTCCAGCGTATACACATCAGAACATGGATCGAAAGCCCTTAAGTTAGGAAAAATATTTATCAGTTGTTGGCCGAAATTGACCAATCAGAAATGTGATCAAATGACTGTTAAGGTTGCCCGATTAGTGCCGCTTGCCAATTTAGAATATATCAAATGGAATCCTAAAATGAAAATGAACTTCTTTCGCCACAAAATAACGGTTTTTTCATTTATATAGGTCTAAACTTAGAGTTTTCGATCTATGTTCAGGCATTTTTCTCTCCATAATGTCTGAAGCTTTAGTTTATTTCAAATGTTTGCTTTTTCAAAGCCATTTTTAATTTTTGTACCACCTTATTGTTCCAATTCCTGCATTCAAACCTACCATTCCTTCTTTTGCCGTTTAGATGCAAGTTTCAAAGTAACGCACCATAGGGTCGACCCACTTTATTAAGAAATCTTCCATCTCACAAAATAAAGTATTCAATCTTTAACTGAATAACTAAAATAATGTCTAGAAAATAATGCTTGCTAAAAATTTTAACTGACGTAATGTCAAGTTATGTGTTTAAAATATTGAATTTAAAAGCATTACATTGCTTAGGGAATTATTATCGATTTAATAATTAGTTTTTCAACTAATTATGAGTTCTGAATTCGAAAATGGTAGGAATATTTCTAATACAGTCGAATTTATATCCAAGCGTCAACATTAGAGTAGAATAATTTTTTTTTTAGAACTCCAAATTTTGTCTCCGAGATCACTATCTAATGAATTCTGTACAATACAAAAGTTTTCTTGTTTAAAACGATTAACGTCAGAAGCGATTTTATAGTCATCAAAGAGCAGTGGATAAGCCTATGGTGTCCCTATGTTGCTTCTGAGCTGATATTACTGAGTATAATTTGAAAAATTAATGAGAAATGCATAATTATAACATTGGTTTCGGTTTCTGATGGCGATTCCCAGGGTATGATTAATAGGCAATACCTAAACTCGTACGTCCATTAATATCTGATGTAGTTTGCTATTCTTAGCCAATATTCTGACGAAAGCCGTTTCATTGACGTAAAACAAATTAGGCCTTGGGAATACTGATGTTGGCTCGGGAAAGATAAATTGAATTTGTGTATAAAGAGATCTTTGTTGTTCATGTTTGATACCTGTCGCAAATTGGGCTCAAAATATGCAAGAATATAGATGGCTGACCAATAAAACCCTTTGAACAAAGGGCCAGTGAAGAATAACAAAGTTTTTAATCATTTTTAGGTCGATTGTTTCTAGCCAAAAGGGTAAAGCTATAGCCTTGGAAATCTACCGTTTTTTGGTGATCTTTTTTTGCGCAAAATGTGATCAAAATATGCAAGAAAAAAGATGGCTTGACCTTTAAAACCTACGAGAACAAAGGGCCAGTGAAGAATAACAAAGTTTCTAATCACTTTTTAGGTGGATTGTTTTTGGCCAAAAGGGTAAGGCTATAGCCTTGGAAATCTACCGTATTTTGGTGATCTTTTTTTTCACAAAGTTTGTTCAAAACATGCAAGAAAATAGATGGCTTGACCAATAAAACCCATTAGGATAAAGAGCCAGTGAAAATTGACAAAGTTTTAATCACTTTTTAGGTTGATTGATTTTAGCCAAAAGGGTAAGGCTATAGCCTTGGAAATCTACCGTTTTTGGTTATTTTTTTTTGCGCAAAATGTGATCAAAATATGCAAGAAAAAAGATGGCTTGACCTTTAAAACCTATGAGAACAAAGGGCCAGTGAAGAATAAAAAAGTTTCTAATCACTTTTTAGGTGGATTGTTTTTAGCCAAAAGGGTAAGGCTATAGCCTTGGAAACCTACCGTTTTTTGGTGATCTTTTTTGTCGCAAAATGTGATCAAAATATGCGAAAAAATACATGGCTTGACCAATAAAACCCATTAGAACAAAGAGCCAGTGAAAATTGACGAAGTTTTTAATCCATTTTTAGGTCGATTGTTTTTAGCCAAAAGGGTAAGGCTATAGCCTTGGAAATCTACCGTTTTTTGGTGATCTTTTTTTTCACAAAATTTATTAAGAATATGCAAGAAAATAGATGGCTTGCGCAATAAAACCCTTTAGAACAAAGAGCCAGTAAAGATTGGAGAAGTTTTTAATCACTTTTTAGTTGGATTGTTTTTAGCCAAAAGGGTAAGGCTATAGCCTTGGAAATCTATCGTTTTTGGTGATCTTTTTTTTCGCAAAATTTGTTCAAAGTATGCAAGAAAATAGATGGCTTGACCTTTAAAACCTATAAGAACAAAGGGCCAGTGAAGAATAACAAAGTTTCTAATCACTTTTTAGGTGGATTGTTTTTAGCCAAAAGGGTAAGGCTATAGCCTTGGAAATCTATCATTTTTTGGTGATTTCTTTTGTCGCAAAATTTTTTCAAAATATGCAAGAAAGTATATGGCCTGACCAATAAAACCCTTTGAACAAAGGGCCAGTGAAGAATAACAAAGTTTTTAATCACTTTTTAGGTCGATTGTTTCTAGCCAAAAGGGTAAAGCTATAGCCTTGGAAATCTACCGTTTTTTGGTGATCTTTTTTTGCGCAAAATGTGATCAAAATATGCAAGAAAAAAGATGGCTTGACCTTTAAAACCTACGAGAACAAAGGGCCAGTGAAGAATAACAAAGTTTCTAATCACTTTTTAGGTGGATTGTTTTTGGCCAAAAGGGTAAGGCTATAGCCTTGGAAATCTACCGTATTTTGGTGATCTTTTTTTTCACAAAGTTTGTTCAAAACATGCAAGAAAATAGATGGCTTGACCAATAAAACCCATTAGGATAAAGAGCCAGTGAAAATTGACAAAGTTTTAATCACTTTTTAGGTTGATTGATTTTAGCCAAAAGGGTAAGGCTATAGCCTTGGAAATCTACCGTTTTTTGGTTATTTTTTTTTGCGCAAAATGTGATCAAAATATGCAAGAAAAAAGATGGCTTGACCTTTAAAACCTATGAGAACAAAGGGCCAGTGAAGAATAAAAAAGGTTCTAATCACTTTTTAGGTGGATTGTTTTTAGCCAAAAGGGTAAGGCTATAGCCTTGGAAACCTACCGTTTTTTGGTGATCTTTTTTGTCGCAAAATGTGATCAAAATATGCGAAAAAATACATGGCTTGACCAATAAAACCCATTAGAACAAAGAGCCAGTGAAAATTGACGAAGTTTTTAATCCATTTTTAGGTCGATTGTTTTTAGCCAAAAGGGTAAGGCTATAGCCTTGGAAATCTACCGTTTTTTGGTGATCTTTTTTTTCACAAAATTTATTAAAAATATGCAAGAAAATAGATGGCTTGCGCAATAAAACCCTTTAGAACAAAGAGCCAGTAAAGATTGGAGAAGTTTTTAATCACTTTTTAGTTGGATTGTTTTTAGCCAAAAGGGTAAGGCTATAGCCTTGGAAATCTATCGTTTTTGGTGATCTTTTTTTTCGCAAAATTTGTTCAAAGTATGCAAGAAAATAGATGGCTTGACCTTTAAAACCTATAAGAACAAAGGGCCAGTGAAAATTGACAAAGTTTTAATTACTTTCTAGGTGGATTGTTTTTAGCCAAAAAGGTAAGGCTATAGCCTTGGAAATCTACCGTTTTTTGGTGATCTTTTTTTTCGCAAAATTTGTTCAAAATATGCAAGAAAATAGATGGCTTGACCAATAAAACCCATTAGAACAATGTGCCAGTGAAGATTCACGAAGTTTTTAATCACTTTTTAGGTCTATTGTTTTTAGCAAAGGGTAAGGCTATAGCCTTGGAAATCTACCGTTTTTTGGTGATCTTTTATTTCGAAAAATTTGTTGAAAATATGCAAGAAAATAGATGGCTTGACCAATAAAACCCATTAGAATAAAGAGCCAGTGAAGATTGACAAAGTTTTAATCACTTTTTAGGTGGATTGTTTTTAGCCAAAAGGGTAAGGCTATAGCCTTGGAAATCTACCGTTTTTTGGTGATCTTTTTTTTTTACAAAATTTGTTGAAAATATGCAAGAAAATAGATGGCTTGACCAATAAAACCCATTAGAACAAAGAGCCAGTGAAAATTGACAAAGTTTTAGTCACTTTTTAGGTGGATTCTTTTTAGCTAAAAGGCTAAGGCTATAGCCTTGGAAATCTACCGCTTTTTGGTGATCTTTTATTTCGCAAAATTTGTTTAAAATATGCAAGAAAATAGATGGCTTGACCAATAAAACCCATTAGAACAATGTGCCAGTGAAAATTGACAAAGTTTTAGTCACTTTTTAGGTGGATTCTTTTTAGCTAAATGGCTAAGGCTATAGCCTTGGAAATCTACCGGTTTTTTGGTGATCTCTTTTTTCGCAAAATTTGTTCAAAATATGCAAGAAAATACATGGCTTGACCAATAAAACCTATTAGAATAAAGAGCCAGTGAAGATTGACAAAGTTTTAGTCACTTTTTAGGTGGATTGTTTTTAGCCAAAAGGGTAAGGCTATAGCCTTGGAAATCTACCGTTTTTGGTGATCTTTTTTTTCGCACAATTTGTTCAAAATATGCAAGAAAATAGATGGTTTGACCTTTAAAACCTATAAGAACAAAGGGCCAGTGAAGAATAACAAAGTTTCTAATCACTTTTTAGGTGGATTGTTTTTAGCCAAAAGGGTAAGGCTATAGCCTTGGAAATCTACCGTTTTTTGGTGATCTTTTTTGTCGCAAAATGTGATCAAAATATGCGAAAAAATACATGGCTTGACCAATAAAAGCCATTAGAACAAAGAGCCAGTGAAGATTGACAAAGTTTTAGTCACTTTTTAGGTGGATTGTTTTTAGCCAAAAGGGTAAGGCTATAGCCTCGGAAATCTACCGTTTTTGGTGATCTTTTTTTTCGCACAATTTGTTCAAAATATGCAAGAAAATAGATGGTTTGACCTTTAAAACCTATAAGAACAAAGGGCCAGTGAAGAATAACAAAGTTTCTAATCACTTTTTAGGTGGATTATTTTTAGCCAAAAGGGTAAGGCTATAGCCTTGGAAACCTACCGTTTTTTGGTGATCTTTTTTGTCGCAAAATGTGATCAAAATATGCGAAAAAATACATGGCTTGACCAATAAAACCCATTAGAACAAAGAGCCAGTGAAAATTGACGAAGTTTTTAATCCATTTTTAGGTCGATTGTTTTTAGCCAAAAGGGTAAGGCTATAGCCTTGGAAATCTACCGTTTTTTGGTGATCTTTTTTTGCGCAAAATGTGATCAAAATATGCAAGAAAAAAGATGGCTTGACCTTTAAAACCTACGAGAACAAAGGGCCAGTGAAGAATAACAAAGTTTCTAATCACGTTTTAGGTGGATTGTTTTTGGCCAAAAGGGTAAGGCTATAGCCTTGGAAATCTACCGTATTTTGGTGATCTTTTTTTTCACAAAGTTTGTTCAAAACATGCAAGAAAATAGATGGCTTGACCAATAAAACCATTAAGAACAATGTGCCAAGTGAAAATTCAAAAGTTTTAGTCACTTTTTAGGTGGATTCTTTTTAGCTAAATGGCTAAGGCTATAGCCTTGGAAATCTCTGGCTTTTTTGGTGATCTTTTTTTTCGCAAATTTGTTCAATAAATATGCAAGAAAATAATGGCTTGACCAATAAAACCTATTAGAATAAAGAGCCAGTGAAGATTGACAAAGTTTTTAGTCACTTTTTAGGTGGATTGTTTTTAGCCAAGGGTAAGGCTATGCCTCGGAAATCTACCGTTTTTGGTGATTCTTTTTTTCGCACAATTTGTTCAAAATATGCAAGAAGAATAAGATTGGTTGATTTAAAACCTATAAGAACAAAGGGCAGTGAAGAATAACAAAGTTTCTAATCACTTTTTAAGGTGGATTGTTTTTAGCCAAAAGGGTAAGGCTATAGCCTTGGAAATCTAATCCGTTTTTTGGTGATCTTTTTTGTCGCAAAATGTGATCAAAATATGCGAAAAATACATGGCTTGACCAAATAAAAGCCATTAAACAAAGAGCCAGTGAAGATCGACAAAGTTTAGTCACTTTTTAGGTGATTGTTTTTTACGCCAAAAGGGTAAGGCTATAGCCTCGGAATTCTACCGTTTTTGGGTGATCTTTTTTTTCGCAGCAATTTGTTCAAAATATGCAAGAAATAGATGGTTTGACCTTTAAAACCTATAAGACAAAGGGCAGTGAAAATAACAAATTTCTAATCACTTTTTTAGGTGGATTATTTTAGCCAAAAAGGGTAAGGCTATAGCCTTGGAAACCTTACCGTTTTTGGTGATCTTTTTTGTCGCCAAAATGTGATCAAAAATATGCGCAAATACATGGCTTGACCAATAAAACCATTAGAACAAAGAGCCAGTGAAAATGACGAAAGTTTTTAATTCCATTTTAGGTCGATGTTTTTAGCCAAAAGGGTAAAGGCTTAATAGCCTTGGAATCTCCGTTTTTTTGGTGATCTTTTTTTTGCGCAAAATGTGATCAATATGCAAGAAAAGATGGCTTGACCTTAAACCTACAGAACAAAGGGCCAAGTGAAGATAACAAAGTTTCTATCATTTTTAGGTGATTTTGTTTTTGGCCAAAGGGAAGGCTATAGCCTTGGAAATCTACGTATTTTGGTGATCTTTTTTTATTTCACAAAGTTTGTTTCAAAACATGCAAGAAAATAGATGGCTTGACAATAATAACCATAGGATAAAGAGAACAGTGAAAATTGACAAAGTTTTAAATAACTTTTTAGTTGATTGATTTTTAGCCAAAAGGGTAAAGGCTATACCTTGAAATCCTACGTTTTTTTGGTTATTTTTTTTTGCGCAAAATGTTGATCAAAAATATGCAAGAAAAAAGATGCTTGACTTTAAAACCTAATGAGAACAAAGGGCCAGTGAAGAATAAAAAAGTTTCTAATCACTTTTTAGTGGATTGTTTTTAGCCAAAAGGGTAAGGCTTATATGCCTTGAAACCTACGTTTTTGGGTGATCTTTTTTTGTCGCAAAATGGTATCAAATATGCGAAAAAAATACATGGCTTGACCAATAAAACCCATTAGAACAAGAGCCAGTGAAAATTGACGAAAGTTTTTAATCCATTTTTAGTCCGATGTTTTTAAGCCAAGGTAAGGCCTATAGCCTTGGAAATTACCGTGTTTTGGTGATCTTTTTTTCACAAAATTTATTAGTATGCAAGAAAAAGATGGCTTGCGCAATAAAACCCTTTAGACACAAAAGCCAGAAAGATTGGAGAAAGTTTTAATCACTTTTAGTTGGTTGTTTTTTAGCCTAAAAGGTAAGGCTATAGCCTTGGAAATCTATCGTTTTTTGGTGATCTTTTTTTTCGCAAAATTTGTTCAAAGTATGCTAAGAAAAATGGAGATGCTTGACCTTTAAAACCTATAAGAACAGGGCCAGTGAAGAATAAACAAAGTTTCTAAATTCACTTTTTAGGTGGATTGTTTCTTAGCCAAAAGGGTAAGGCTTAGCCTGGAAATCTATCATTTTTGGTGATTTCTTTTGTCGGAAAATTTTTTCAATATGCAAGAAAGTATATGGCCAGACCAATAAAACCCTTTGAACAAAGGGCCGTGAAGAATAACAAAGTTTTTTTATCACTTTTAGGTCGAATTGTTTCTAGCCAAAGGGTAAAGAACTATAGCCTTGGAAATCTACCGTTTTTTGGTGATCTTTTTGCGCAAAATGTGATCAAATATGCAGAAAAAAGATGGCTTGACCTTTAAAACTAACAGAGACAAAGGCCAGTGAAGAATAACAAAGTTTCTAATCACTTTTTAGGTGGATTGTTTTTTGGCCAAAAGGGTAAGGCTATAGCCCTTGGAAATCTACCGATTTTGGTGATCTTTTTTTCCACAAAGTTTGTTCAAGAACATGCAAGAAATGATGGCTTGACCAATAAAACCATTAGGAAAAGAGCCAGTTGAAATTGACAAGTTTAATCACTTTTTAGGTTGATTGATTTTAGCCCAAAGGGTAAGGCTATAGCTTGGAATCTACCGTTTTTTGGTATTTTTTTTTGCGCAAAATGTGATCAAATAATGCACGAAAAAGATGGCTTGACCTTTAAAACCTATCGAGAACAAAGGGCCAGTTGAGAATAAAAAGGTTCTAATCACTTTTTAAGGGGATTGTTTTTTAGCAAAAGGTAAGGCTATAGCCTTGGAAACCTACCGTTTTTTTGGGTGATCTTTTTTGTCGCAAAATGTGATCAAAATATGCGAAAAAATACTGGCTGACCAATAAAACCCATTAGAAACAAAGTAGCCAGTGAAAATTGACGAAGTTTAATCCATTTTTAGGTCGAATTGTTTTTAAGCCAAAAGGGTAAGGCTATAGCCTTGGAAATCTACCGTTTTTGGTGAATCTTTTTTTTCACAAAAATTTATTAAAAATATGCAAGAAAATAGATGGCTTGCGCATAAAACCCTTTAGAACAAAGAGCCCAGTAAAGATTGGAGAAGTTTTTATCACTTTTTAGTTGATTTGTTTTTACCAAAAGGAAGGCCTATATCCTTTGGAAATCTATCGTTTTGTGATCTTTTTTTCGCAAATTTGTTCAAAGTATGCAAGAAAAAATAGATGGCTTGAACCTTTAAACCTATAAGAACAAAGGGCAGTGAAAAATTGACAAAGTTTTAAATTACTTTCTGGTGGATTGTTTTTAGCCAAAAAGGTAGGCTATAGCCTTGGAATCTACCGTTTTTTGGTGATTTTTTTTTTTCGCAAAAATGTTGTTCAAAAAATATGCAAGAAAATAGATGGCTTGACAATAAAACCCATTAGAACAAAGAGGTAGTGAGGGTTTATGAGGTTTGTAATCGGTTTTTTAGTTGGATTGTTTGTTTTTAGCAAAAATGGTAAGGCTTGGAATCTAATTTTCGTTGGTTATCTTTTTTTTTTAAAAAAGTGTTAATAGAAATAGTAAAAAGCGGCATTAATATATAAAACCTTTTTGAGTAAAACAAGTAAGGTTGAACTAGGTTTTGGACGCATTTTCAGCAAGACTATTTCTGGTCTAAAACGTAAAGAAAATTAGTTATTGGCTTTGGAATTTGGTGTTTTTTTAAAAATATGATGAAATCATACTATCAGCAATTGTCATAAGAATTTGGAGCACGAAAGAGTCGTTTCAATATAATCATGAAAAATGCAAAATTCTATTGTTTACACTTTTGTGCTTATTCATATTATAGATACCTAATTAATAGGGGAATACATTAAAAATTGTATGAAAACATTGATACCGACAAGAAGTTGATTTCGTCATACATACTTCAATATACATTGTTTGTAACGAGAAAACGTTTCAATACAAAAATTAATGTAATGGAGATCTTAATTATTTCGCTAATGATATCCTCTGAAGGCCTGCCGTTGCTTAAGGCTTCAAAATAACTATTGCATTCGTATGGTGAATGGAAGCGCCCTAGTACTAATACATTGCAAAGGAGGTTGTATCATCACAAAACAGTTCCAGCTCATGTTGCACTTTGGTGGGTAAAAAGCATAATCCATACTTTCCACAACCAACTTCAAGTAAACAGAGAACAGGTAAAAGCAAAGGTCGCTAGAACATTCCTTTTCTCAAAACTTGATGTTGCAAAAATGAGTCAGGGCAAAACCGAGTGAGGATTAAACTGAATAAGAACCAAACTGTGTCAGGACCAAACTGAGTCAGGACCAAACTGAGCTAGGACCAAACTCAGTTAGGATCAAACTGAGACAGGACCAAACTGAGTCAGGACCAAACCGAGTCAGGACCAAACTGAGTCAGGACCAAACTGAGTCAGGACCAAACTGAGTCAAGACTAAACTGAGTCAGGACCAAACTGAGTCAAGACCAAACTGAGTCAGGACCAAACTGAGTCAGGACCAAACTGAGTCAGGACCAAACTGAGTCGTGGTGAAACTGAATCAAGTCGAAACTGCATGGGGATAAACCGTATAGGGCCAAAAATGAGTCGAAGCAAGAGCAATAACTGAGTTTTGGCAAAACAATTTTATGACATTATAATATTATTAACAGTTCTAAGTGCTATTTCTGTTCGATGTTGATCTTGAAACTTTTAGCACTAACAAATATACACTAAACTATAAGCACTAAAGAGTGATGTTTCTAGACTACCGAGATGATGACACATTTGGCCAAAACACAATGAATAACATATACGTAGAACAACAAATTGAGAGTTATCACGAAAAACAAGTTTAGCTCTATTGCTATCTAAAATACTGAAAGATATCAGAATAAATTTATATCGTCACTACTATCTGATAGGTTGAGAGTATGATTCGCTATAAAATGATAGGCATCAAAATAAGAGGTGGCTCGAGCAACCGGATGATAATTGACAAAATGACTATCAATAGTGGATTTCACGTAGTTTGACCTTGTCCAAGTAAGCGATGTCTCAAACCAAGGTACATACTTGTTTGCAATCACTGGTCATACCTATTTAATAAATGACTGTCATTTTATTACCCTTGTCGCTTGGCATTACTGCCCATAAGCCAAGAGAATGCATGGTGTTCCTTCCAGGGTAAATGACCGAAATATGACGCAATCATTATAATTATATACAATATCAATAAATCTTTCCTTTAAAGTAAAATTGCTTAGAATGAGCTTTGTATAAGGTAGTTTAGGCCTGACCCTCGATTGCGCTCACAGTCATTGAACAGTAATAGCAACTCCGAATTAAATTCAAGATGCCAGCAACAAATGCTCCTGAAATGGAAGAAAACCAACTTCAAATGTGGAACGTAAGAGATCATATATAAGAACACAATTTACAGACGTCTATGGTGTGTGAGGTTTTCAATGAAAACATGCAAAAATCGTTTTGATTATTTCATCGTCAATCGCAGCAATGATAACAATAGGCCTAGACTATAGTACTAAACATTGACGCTGTGTTCATTAAGAACAACGAATTTCGTAATAGCATCAAAAAAGTATGGCAGCTTTTCCATGAAATCTTCGCAAGACATTTTTGATTTTTAGATGCCTTTTATGTACGTCGAACAATTCACAATACATCAACCACAAAATTTCTATAGGCTTTGTGACGTAAGCATCAGAGTTCTTAAATTCAAGAGCAGAGTTACGAGAAGCGCTTGCAAATTGCTTTCTTTGAAAATAACGCGAATGGATTCCGTGAAATTGCATCACCTGTTGGCTGCTTAATGGTGTGTAAAAAGTTTTTCCTTTCAAGGAGAGTAAAAAATTCACCAAGGGTTGGCAGACCGAAGAGGTTTACAAAGCCGAGAGACGAAAGGTCATTTCTGAGGAAACTGCGAAGTAATAGGTTTGAATCTTTACCAGGCATTATATTGTCTTGTGAAAAGAAGCTTAATTTAGGAACATAAGCAAAAACGTGGCTATGAAAATCATAAGCAATACAAATTTTCCAGCTTTATAAGAAAAAATTGCTCTCTCAAAGCAAAACTTATAAAGCAGAAATTAATCATCGCCGACGAGAACTGTGGCTTTTCCTTTAGTGTTACGCAACATTAAAAGTAGCTTAAGTAAATTATATAATTTCTTGAAATTGTAACGATTTCGTTGATTCAGCAAACTTTATTTGAGACTTAGCCGTTCGATCTTGTAATTTTCTTGTAAAATTTTCTTATTATGTAAATGTGAATTTTAAAAAATGAACTCGTTTGGATATCTCTAAAAAATTGCATAGGCCGTGCGAGTTAACTGTTTTTAGGCGATACAACTCTTTTGTATACTTTGCTTTTATTTATAGGGAAATTATAAAAATCTAATGCTTTTATAATTATGATTCAAAATTTGAAGAGTTTTTTCAACTTTTACCGACATTTCTGGGATACATAGGCCTAGATTATTGGAAAAGACTGCTCATATCAACAAGGTTCCGTTGCAAACCCGAATAGCGCAACGCGATAGTTCTTCTATCGAATACGTCCCAATCTTTTTTGAACGTAAGTGAATTACCCAGTGTTCAAAATAGAGGTTAAGATATCAAAAAAAGAAGACTCTACATACCGATCCACACGACGTATATCCCTGCAATAAAAACAAATGTTAGATTGGGTCTTAAACAACAGAAAAACATTGAAAAATGACTTTTTATAACCACAAGACACTGGAAGAAATGAGCAGCAGAAGGAGAAAGGAAGAGAGATGCGAAATTTGAAAGGGGTGAAAACTAAAAAGGGGGCAAGCAAATCATAGAGAACTAAAAAGGGGGCAGAGTAGACTTACGAAGACAAAATTTATACAATCGATTTAGTTTATTATTATCTTTTCAATGTTTATCATTATTTTTATCCTTATAATAAAAATACTTTTTTAAATTTTAGTTTATATTAAATGAATGTGTATCAATTGATCTCGATCTTTTACAAGTCACAGGGGGCAAATGGCCCGAAAACTCTTTAAGAGCTCTTTCCATGTATCCTTCAGCAATATTCTGCTAAATTTATGTATTGTTATTCTTCTTGTTTGTATGATTGTTTAATGTAGCTTTTAAACATCAAAATTATATTTTATTACTGTAATTAGTTACTTTCTGTTGAAAATATACATAAAAAAGTATTTTTAATGTGGAGTGAGACACGTGCAAATTTTACTGTGAGTTGAATGGAATCAATTGCAAAGGAAAGTTCGAAGTAAGGGATTTCATAACAAATATCTGTTAGTGAAACAAGTATTTTTAGAATGCTTACCTCCTGTCGTCTTTGCCATCTCGATAGTTGTAATCTGAAAGTTAGAAAGCGCATTGACTCGTTATGTGGTTAGTTGAGAGAAGATAAATAAATTCAGAGCAGCAAATATTTGCATGAATGAAGGAAATGCAAATATGAAGAAAAGGCAATGCATTTAATCGAAGACTCCAAGGCAATAGAAAAAAGGCAGTAAGTCTGTAATAGTAAAGCAGAGCCAAAAGTGAAAGTTCAAGTCCTTTTATGTAAAATGCAATATATATAGATCTAAAATGCAATATTTCCTTGAGCCTTTTGTTATATGAACTTATAGATGAAGGTGTATTGCTCATTTTCTGACGTTTTTCAATTGTCTAAATGAACTGCGCTTCAAATTTGAAAGCAGAAAACAAACATATTTGGCAGTTTGGAATAAAACAGACTACGTTTAGGACCCTGATTGACAGGTAGGTCGGAACAAAGGGTGGGAGAATGACAGAATTTTGAACAAGATTTAATAAGCAGGGGGTTAGGGGGCAGGGAATTAAGGGGGATTGGAATTAAGAGGGTTGGAATTAAGGAGGTTGGAAAAATCTACACTAATAACCAATTTAGACCCTGGATGGGCAAATAAAAGAAAAGAAAGAAAATTGCTAAACAATAATAAAAAATCATTTTCGAAACAAAACAGGGAAAACTTTAAGTCCGCTCTTGGAGGATATCTAACAAAAATATTTGTTAGATCACTTCTCAAGGTAAATAACAAAAAACTAATCAATAGGACAGGAGAGTGGCACTTGACCAGAAAAAGGGACGGGGGTGTGTGAAAAACCTTTAATTGCGCCCTGGCCTTGTCCCATAAAAATCATGCTAAAAGGGTAATTCCATACCAAATCAACACACTCAAAAAATCTTATGTACTCACTGAAACTTCTCAGACATATATAAATTGATAAGATATGAACCCCTGTAGATGCTGAGCTTTATACCACACTCCATTGTGGAGATATGGGTGTGGTCTTTTTAAAACTTATATGCGAAGGATTTCGCTCATTGGAAAAGGCCATAACCAAATAACTTTGTCATTTCACAAGCTATATGGGTGGGTGATACCTATTTTCAAAGATATTTTTGTGTTCTACAATATGACACCATATTCATAGCCATGAAAAAATAAGAAAACTGAAAATCAGCAAAATCTATTTTTTTCTTCATCCCCCCTTAGCATTAAGCCTACAACCCCCCATTGTTAAAAATTGTATATTACCATTTGGTAATATCTATATAAGTAATATGCAAAGTTTTGTGTTGGGGCTTACGTGGGTTGCAGAGTTAAGGCCATTTCAATGGATAAAGGTCTATTTTTTGCAAATTTGTCCTGACAATAGAAAAACTTCTTCTGAATATCTATTCTTACCATGAAGGTTTTACCATATGTTTCCTTTAGTGAGCCTTTTATAAAAAATATCTAAAGGTTAGGAATGATTCTGCTTAGAAGACTTTTTTATTGATTTAATAATACTTTTTTAAACCATAAAAAACTTTGCCTGAACCAGCATTATACCAGCCAAAAATCTGGCAATTCCTTCCAGTCAAATCTGTTTGCAGGTTATATTTGAGCTTGTTTTTGAAGAGTAGAGGGCTAGATAGAAATTTGAGGGTTTGACACAAAATCTGAAACCAATTAGCAGTTAGATATTCATTGCAAAAATGTGTCTTGCTTCCCATTTAGCTTGGTTGTGTTGTTGTATAAGATCATAAATGGAGGACAGACTCATAGTTTTGTTCAGTTGGTGTTGTGTTACATAAAGTTGTTCTATGAACAAGATGATGATGAAAAGTTCGTTTTTAAACTTTTTTAAACATGGACAATGTTGAAACATTTTGCCAAAAACACAAAAAACATATCTTTGACCTATACAAGCAATCAGAGTTGGTGTTGTGATCCTTAAACCAACATAAAAACAGAGTACCCTCAAAGGATTTACGTGAAATTACTGTCAGTTCGGAAAAAGTGATGCTCTACTTGAAAAAGCAGGTCCCACTAAAAAACATTAATTGGATCCTGTGGAAAACATTGGAGAGGATCTTGGAAATGAACTGCCATGTGATGATGAAACATTTCAGTTGCCTGCAGTTGATATCTCTCTGGTCAACACTTCTTTATTAAGCATTTGATAATCTCCCATTTAGCCAAAGAAACTGGCTGGGTCAAAGAGGTATCCGAAAGAAAAACTAGATAGGACAACTGCCGCTTTTTGCAAAAAAATTAAAAATTGATGAAGAAGTAGATGATGCTCTTGGGAAAAATCAGAAATTGATTCATTACAAAAATGAAATGATTAATCAGCTAAAAAAGATATTTTCTAGAGCTGAACAAAGATAAGAGCAGATGCAGGTGTTAACAGTCTTGTCAAGAACTTGGAGTATTCGCAAAGAAGAAAGAGTTCAATGTTGGCAAGTATTTGGAAGGCTCTACAACAGAGCTTTTTCCAAAGAGTACTATAGGGCAGATGATAGAAGGCAATTTTCAGTTGTTCAAGTACAGCCATGTGAGTTTCTGTCATGGGAAAGCGTAAATGGCTATATCACTTGTAAATATGACAGGAGATGGTGGCTTGCTTATGTTCTTCATAAGATAAAGGAAAGAAATGAGGCAGAATTTCTATTTCTGCACCCGCCTGGTCCTTCTGCTTGGTTCACATATCCAGCTGAAGATGACATATTGATTGTTCAGCAGGAAGATATTCTAACAAGAGTCAATCCTACAACTGTTACAGGCCACACCCATAAATTACAGCTAAGGGAAACTGATCATGCAAAAGAGCAACTGACCAGACCATAAAAAATGTCTCTTAAGTGAACGACTACAACTTGATTGCAACAGAGACCTAAAAAGTTCTGTTTCTTCCAACCTTAGTGTTTGTAGAACACAAAAATCTCTTTGAGCTATCACCCACCCATAAAGCTTGTGAAATGACGAAGTTATGTTGTTAATACCCTTTCCAGTGAGCGAACCCCTTCGCGTAAGCTTAAAAATGACCACACCCATATTTCTAGAATGGGGTGGGGTATAAAGCACAAAATCTACAGGGGTTCATATCTTGTCAATTTATATACGTCTGAGAAGTTTCAAATTGATCTAATAAGTTGAGGTAAAATTTTGTCCTTTTTTGTGTTGTACTATATGAAATCACCTAAATGCATACCCCTGTCCTTTAAAAATTGCCAAAAAACATTACTAAAATATACATGAGCAGAATGAATATCTGCCCTGTGACAAACACATGTTGATTGTGGGAGCCGATAATTACTTCTATATTTTGCTTCTAAATACTCTTCCATAACAATTTCAATATTTTTGATACCCTATCCCAAAGTTTAAGATGCAATTCATAATACCAATAATTTTTATCAGAAAAGTATACCCTGTTTTGTCGCACATAACCTCAGGTCAAGTATGGAAGTGCATGCCCATTGGGGTCATCATAACTAGAGTTGAGGGGATAAAAAATATGATAAAAATTGATAACCTAGGGGGCATTATTAAGGCACCTAAGAGTATAATTCTAGCTCATAATAAGATTGCGCCTTTTCACAGAGTGCTAGATGGTAGAGGAATAAAAGCCTGAACAAACAAATTAATCACTTACAGTAACCACAACCCCAGCAATAAGGAAGATCAAGCCAATTGCAGCAAATATAATTGCACGTGACATGGCAAATTTTCCACCAACTGAAGATCTACAAACAAAAAAGCATGGCATTCAAGTCATTGTACTGAAGATCTACAAACAATATTTTCAGCCATTGCTAACAGTAGTTTCTCACAATGACTAAAGACGTTCATTGACTTAATGCTTCTACTACTGATTGCAGGCATGTGCCATACAGCTTTCTTGTTAGGTTTAAGTTTCTAAGTATCACAAATCATTCAGTGCCAATCCCAAAACAAATTTATCCCTAGAACAAACATAACCCTAGAACAGAGCTAAAGAGATGGCAGATAGATCCAAATATACGTGTCAGTTATTTTGTGGCCTATCTAAAAGCTCCAGCATACTTGAAGTTCATTTCAAATATCATTGCAACACACAATGAAATTAACTTACACTTTTCTGCAGTAAGGACATCTTGCAAGGTGTGCTGTGATACGAAACTATAAAAGAGAAAAATACAATGCTGTCAATATTCTGCTTCTTAATAAGACTAGAATAAACTGTACACTTAGTGAGCAAAAGTATTGCACAGGTTTGACAAATCAGTGATGGCCACCACTTTGCAAACAACAAGGCGATCAAAATTCAAACTACTTTTGTAAAGCCATTAGGTGTCTTTGTATAGTTGAAAAACCAATCAAACTAAACTCCAAACTGTTGGCAACACTTTTGATTTGAATATGGAAGATATTTTTTTTAGAAGTTAGATGATTTAACTTCTTATTGGATAGTCTCGTAGCTTTGAAACCTTTGTGAGACTTGCTAAAACTTTATCAAAAAGTTTAGTAACAGGTTCTGTTAATTGTGACATTATAAGTTTAGAAAAACATCTCAAAATCACATTTAGACGTTGGAGTGCCAAGTTGGACACTATTGACCTTGTATTTGGTGGAAAGTGGCATACTTTAACCCATTTTATTATGCCGACTCATTCCCAGCTATTGAGGCACTTGAGTGTACCTGTTATCGCAGGAATTTCGATCTTTTTATTCAATGAGAAAACAAACAATTGTTTCAAGCAATTTGGAGAGTTATTTGTTTTCTTACCAACATCACACTTAATTGGAAAAAATGGGTTTGAAGATTTCTGACACATTTTATTGATTGAATTATGATGCAATATTGCAGCTCTAAAAGTTTCTGACCAAAAAGTTTAGCATATTCTCCAACAACAGTGAGCAAAATGAGCAGTTCTAGACACTGAAACAGAAAGTAAGTATCCAGGCCTGGCCGTTTGTATTTATATAGGTGAGCTGTGAATTGCTCCCCTCATATGCTGAGGCGAGCTAGCTCAGTAACACATAGAATGTATATACTTTAAAGACAATCAACAGATGACTTAAGCCCCTTTAGTATCTGTTGGTTGCCTTCAATAGCCTCAGTCAGGAGTATGCTGTTTTACTTCTTTCAATTTGTATTTGCTTTAACTGTGACTTGGGCACCCCCTTTTCTTGAAGTATTTAAAAGAACAGATTCTTTCAGTTTCATGTAAAGCTGGCACAACACAAAAACAACAATCTCTTGCAAAACAACCTTTTAGTTATACAGAATTTGAAAATGGCTTTGAAATTTTTTTTTAAAACAAGCTGAAATTATACGTCTAGCACTCTTCAGAGAATAAAACGTCAGAACATGGATGGAAAACTCTACGCTAAAATACCCAGTTTTGGATCGAAATAGGCCAATCAGAAAACGCGAGCACATGACTGTTGAGGTTGTCCAATCAGTGCCGCTTTCCTATTGAAAATGTCACTAACGGAGTCCTAAGGTGAAAACGAACTCACTTATGTCTACACAAAAGCGGTCGGTCATGTTTATATAGTAGATACATTCACAAAGTGCTAGATCGAACGATGATCAGGCTTTGCCATTAATGCCAAACACATCGCCGTTATAGTTTTTTATCCAATCTGGGTTTTTCAGTAAATGCTGCTGGATAGTGGAATTCCATGTTTTGGTTGTCGTTTTTGATCTGCAAGACAGAGTACCTTGTTCTCTTTGAGGGATAGTTTTGTTTCTATTACTGGAAGGCACCTGCTGTCTTATTATATCCCCAATCTACAATTCTTACAATTTCTTCGACTTTCCTTCCAAAAATATGCCTGTTTTCTTTAGATTGAAAGGTTCTAATCGCTACAAACATACCTTTCGGTTAACTATCCTTTCCCAAATAGATAGAAGTTTATGCCTATCATCGCCCAACAAGCAAAAAGTTAATTGCAAAAAATGCAATGACGGGAGAAATCGCTGTTACAAAAATAAACCAATTAACCCTTGTGCATTTTCATAATTCTCTGAATAGGAAATTTTAGGGGAGGGATTCTTCCTTCATGTTCTGTTTAGGAGAGCAATTCATTGCTCGCCTTAGCTTGCGTGAGGAGCATGGAGGCGAACGAAAGCTATCGCTCTCCTCAAACGGCCAGGCCTGAAGTATCCCCAAGTTAATTTTTTGAAGATAGCGCAAATTGGTGCAAAAATAAACTTTTTGATCGCAGGTGTTTCACAGGTACTTTACTCACCATAGCTCAATTTTTGTGTTTTGGCAAATGTTGATATTGTTCAGAAATTGACAAAAATAAATTCTTACATTTGCTATTATCAGCATCAAACCTTGATACATTTCCCTATATATTCCAACTAAAAAGTCATCTTACAACTTTTATAAAACTTTTGGTGACCATTTGAATCTTGGTTTGCTAAAGAATTTTGCTATAGTGCCGCCATTTCTGTCTCAGCCTGTGCAATACTTTTGCTCACTAAGTGTAGATATGATAAAAAATGAAAGATGATATCCTGAGCTAGTAAGTCGAATCATTCTGAAAGTAAACTTACAACAAAGGTTTCATTGCAGTGCCCACATGTTACTCTGATTCGACTGTCAGTATTTTGAACCTGTGGAACAGGGGCAGATGCTGATGGTGGTCCTCCTCCAACGTTAATTATTCTTTTACTGGAATGAAAAGAGTAGGAATCAAAAGAAAACATACAATCCAGCATCAGGTTCGAGAAATAGACATAATTACCCAAACAAAGACACCCAAAAGACAGTCCTGGTAATATTTGATGTGCACACACACGCCTTCATGCACGCCTTAAACTGCAATGGCCTTCTTTTTATTGCACATGCAGTCACATGATTTGACTTAATATTCTTATTCGCTTATGTTTTTTTCATTTCTTGTTATTTTCATGCTTTGGTATTTACATCATGCCACTTCTGTTTGGTCAAAACAAGATCGTGGGTGTTTCCATTACTCCATTTTTATCTGTTCTCGTGTCCTTTGTTCGAGCTCTTTTTGCCAAGATTGAATGACTCCATTTTCGAATGCCTTTGTCTATACTGTTCCCAATAGAACAATGCATTTTCAAATGATTCCAGTTTGAATCCACTTTGAACAGCGTTTTGAATGACTCCCGTTTGGTTTGAAATGACTCCTTTTTTGAGCATATTAATGGAACTCAAAATTGAATAGTATCCGCCCTCACACAAATATGGAGGAATGGCAACAGGGCCTAAAAACTTGTATGCTTTTTGTTAAATCATTCTGTTTTCAAGAAACATCTTCAAAATTCTGTAAAAATTATTTGGTTGTATGAAAACCTTGAACACATTTCCAAACAGTCATACATCCCTTCAAATACATATATACATGGCATTTAGAGACCTATCAGGTCTTTTTAAAAATCATCAGGTCTTTATCAAAATCATATGGTCTCCATTTTATGGATCGCAAACCATCACATGCCTAAACTTTTCAAGGCGTGCAATTACCAGCATATCAACAAATTTCATATTACCAGGACTGAAAGATGAATAACAAACCATTTTTATAGATAATTTCATAGCTCATTGAGAACAATAAAAACAAAAGTACCAGTTTGTTCTTGGACAGGATATTCTTGTTGATGTGGAACGGCAAGTAAGTAAAGCATTGCAAGGACATCTAATGTATTTTTTGCCATGTGGTGGTGGCTTTATTGGCTAAAAGAGAAGAAAATATTCAGATTAGCTTGTTGGGTACCTTAATGCTTTCATTTGACCAGGAGCCTTGCATAGATTTAAACAGAAAGAAGGTCAGTTTATCAGGCCTTTTGTAAGAAATCGATCACTCTTAAAATGATATTAATGGTCAATGCTAAAAGCGTTTATATGTTTATAAAAACTGTATGATCTTTTTGTTTTAAGGTAATATCAAA